TAGTAGTAGTAGTAATCGCTGCTGCTGCCACCTCAGGTCACTTCTGGCTAGTGTGGTGTCACATAAAAATACAGTGGACCCTCTACTTACGGAATTAATCCGTATTGCAACAGTGGCTGCAAGTCGAAAAGTCTGTAGGTCGAATCTCCATTGACCTACAATGCATTGAAAACCAATTAATCCCATAACCAGCGGTTTTATTCTATTTTTGTTCAATTTTGGTTTTTTTCTGGTCTGTAAATCGATTCTCTGGCTGCAAGTCAAATCTAGATTTTGTGGCCAGAGAAGTCTGTAACTCGAAAAGTCTGTAAGTCGAGGGTCCACTGTACATCAAAAGTAAAAATACCTATTCAGTGGATGATAAAGCTGTAGAAAACAACCATGTATTTAAATCAGTTTAACTCTCATATCTAACAGAGTCTGGGTGAAGAGAACAATCTCCAGAATGGCAATAAAGACATTGCCTGAGGACCTAGCTCTACGAACACAGAGCTGAAAATGCCCCCCTGTTTCCATACCTGGACTGAATGAGCAGTAAGGATTTTAATGCTGTCCCCAACCAGGAATCTGTTAGCATTTCTATATCTTCCCTCAATCTCTGCAAAGCTTCCTTTTTTTCTGGACTGAGGAGGGCTAAAAACGACAACAACAATAACACACTCATATAGTGATAATTTTCATCAGAGAAGTAAAGCGTAATCTTGCCATGTACAACATTATCCAGATTTGTGGTTTCATTTATCCATTAATTATTAAAATTTGGAAATAACTTCATGAAAATGATAAGCAGCCACTCAATTTCCACATGTGAAATAAAACATTTTTTTTCATGTTAAGAATTTCTAGATTGCCTTTCCTGCAATTCAGTACATACAGTAAAGATGAAATATTCCAAAATAAAATAAAATACTTTATCTTGCCTTTGCTTTGTTCTAATGAAAGTCCTTTGGACTTGACCTGCATGAACCATTTCAAATGAAGGACGAGTAGAACTTGACAAAACTGGGAACTGCATTAACCTAAGAGTCCGTGGTTTAGGCATCTGGCTGCAGAGACAGAGCTTGGAAGTTTGTGCGGTCGTGGGCAAACTGCACAGTCCCAGTGTCATTTAGCAGCCAGAGCATGGGGCTGGAACACAAGGAGATCTTGGTACCAGTCCCTACTGAGCTTTGATACTTGCTGGGTGACTTGGTCTAGTCACCTTCTCAGCCTAATCTACCTCACAAGGCTAATGTATGCTAAAAGCAGGAATTAGGAGACAGACTGTATGTCCTGCCTTTCCTACCAACACATTTGTCTTTCAGCTTCACATGTCAGACACAACTTTTTTAAAGCTTATCAGTCATCAGAATGCCGACACATTCTTTATAGACACAAACACATAAGGACTGATCCAGTGTCCACCTGGGACTGCCTGGCTGATTCTGGTTCCAGCACTCCATTATACAAAAGTACAGATGGACACAACTTAAGTCACGCCCCTGCATGCCAAGGCCTCCGCATGACACCACATGTGCTGTGCATTACCTCCCCCTCAGACGGCTGTGCCTATTCATACACTGCTGCACATTGTCTGGACCGTCCGTCCTTCTGTGGTGGCCAGCCAGTGCAGACTGGAGCCAGTCACTCAATGGCTGCCCAGGGAAAATCCCCATCCCATCCCCTTGCCCAAGTGGTTGGCTGCCGCCAGAGGGCGAGAGGAAGAGCAGCAGCCTGAGCTCCTGCCCACACTGGCCTGCCGCCCCAGAAGGACTACCCCAGTGGTGTGCAACAACATATGAGTGGGCCAGCGGGCCAGGGGTGGGGGGGAGTGGACCGTCGTGCCCATTGTATACAAAAGGAGAAGGCTGGAGTGCATTTGGAGACAGAACCCGACAGATTATAATCAGAAAGCTGTCAGGATCGCGACTAACCACTACCTTACTAAAGGTGAGGGCCACCAGTCGAGCTCACTTCGCTGTCTGGATAAGCAAAGCTTCCAGTCAGCAGGCGGAACTTTTCTGTATAGTTCGCAATCTATCCGGAATGGGTCTAAGTGATGGGACTCCTACTAGTAAGTATTTCACCTGACCAATTTGCAGCATTTAAAAAATCTAAAGTGGAGGCCATCCACCGGAAGCTCTTTCCTTTTTTGAATACAGTGAGTCGAGCTGAGACGTCCAGTGTTCCACCTTGCTCGATGAGACTCGATCTCTTTCAGCCTGTGACGCCAGATATGGTGGACAAAGCGCTTGACCGCTGTCGTGCCACCTCCTCCTTCCTTGACCCTTGCCCAGCCAAGGTTAATCAAAGCAGCCAGGCCTACAACAACCGAATGAGCCATGGCAATAATTAATGGGTCTCTCCAGGAGAGACTCATTAGGCACATAAGGAAGAAATCAAGTTTGGCGGTGGACAATATTGGCAATTATAGGCCCATCGCCATTGTTTCTTTCCTCACCAAAGTGGTACAGAGAGTGGTGGCTGATCAGCTCCAGGCTCCTTTGGATGAAACCAATGCCCTGGATCCATTCCAGTCAGGCTTCAGGCCGGGCCACGGTATGGAAACGGCATTGGTCACCCTGTTTGATGACCTGCAGAGGAAGGCTGACAGGGGCAAAATGTCTTTGTTGGTCCTCCTCGATATCTCAGCTGCCTTCAATACCGTCGACCATGGTATCCTCCTGGAGAGGCTCTCCAAGTTTGGCGCTTGCCTGGCTCCATTCCTTCTTGGAGGACCATCCTCAGAGAGTTCAGCTTGGGGAGAGTGTCTCGACCCCATGGAGCCTCAATTGTGGGGTTCCGCAGGGCTCGATTATCTCCCCAATGCTGTTTAATATCTACATGAGGCCGCTGGTTGGGGCGATCAGGGGGTGTGGGGCTTCGTGCCATCAGTACGCTGATGACACCCAGCTCTACATCTCCTTTTCTCCAACTGCAAGTGGATGCCGTTCCGTCCCTTCAGCACTGCCTGGAGGCTGTACTGCAGTGGATGCAGGAGAATGGACTGAGGCTGAACCCGGACAAGACAGAGGTCCTGAGGGTGTGTGGCCCCTCCATTGATGGTTTGGGAAACTCCCTATCTTTTGGGGCAGTGACTCTCACCGCAAAGAGTGAGGTTCACAGCTTGGGGGTCCATCTGGATCCGATGCTCACTATGGAAACCCAGGTGGCATCAGCAGTACGCTGCGCCTATTTCAATCTCTAGCAGATTGCCCAGCTGCGTCTCTATCTTGATGTTGGGGCACTCACCACTCTGGTCCATGTGCTTGTAGTCTCGAGATTAGACTACTGTAATGCACTCTACGTGGAGCTACCTTTGAGATTGATGTGGACGCTTCAAATGGTGCAAAATGCAGCAACCAGACTTCTCAGTGGGATGAGAAAATATCAGCATATTTCCCCCACTCTGGCTGCCTTGCATTGGCTGCCCGTTCGTTTCCGCATTGATTTCAAAGTGTTAATTATGACATATAAAGCCCTAAACGGTTTAGGACCTCGATATCTAGTGGAACGACTCCTCCCACTAGATCTACCCGAATCACTCATTCTAGCCAGGAAGGGTGGCTGAGGGGCCTAACACCAAGGGAGTCCCGGAAAGAAAGAACAAGAAACCGGGCCTTTTGAGCAGTGGCCCCTCGCCTTTGGAAGAGTCTGCCCCCAGAGATCTGTCTGCCTCTCTCGCTGAGTGTTTTTAAGAGCAAACTTAAGACCTGGCTCTTTAGGCAGGCTTTCCCTCCTGTCATCACTTGAATATTTCCCTCCCCCCATCTTGAACTATATTACTATTGGTTTTTTAAAAATTTTATTATATTGTTTTTATTTTTTATTGTTAGCCGCCCAGAGTAGACTTCGGTCTAGATGGGTAGGATAAATTTAATTAATAAATAATTAAAATAAAATAAAAAGCTTTGACATGACAGAATAGATACAGTGGTGCCCCGCTTGACGATTACATCGTTAGACGAGGAACTCGCTTAAAGATGAAGTTTTGCATGCGCTTTTGCGATTGCAAAACAATGTTTTAAATAGGAAAAATCGCTTCATGATGATTGGTTCCCTGCTTTGGGAACGATTTTTCGCTTTACGATGATCAGAAAACAGCTGATCATCGGGTTCCAAAATGGCTGCCCGGTGTTTAAAATGGCTCCCTGCTGTGCTTAGGACAGATTCCTCGCATTACAGGCACCAGAAAATGGCCGCCCTTTGGAGGATCTTCACTGGACGCTGAGGTATTTCGCCCACTGGAATGCACTGAGCGGTTTTCAATGCATTTCAATGGGCTTTTTCATTTCGCTTGACGAGGATTTCGCTTAACAGCGATTTGAACGGAACGGATTATCCTCGTCAAGTGAGGCACCACTGTACAAACAGCAGAATGCAATCCTGTATTGAGTGCTCTTGCACTTGGTGTACAACAGGTGGTTAGTGGGTGCTGTCATACTAACCTGCTACATTGCTTTTGTATTTGTCATAGACCTCGCGCACCTTGCGGTAGCGGAAAGCCAACTTCCTCATCCAATCCACTCCACCCTGGACTCCTGAAGAACTGTGATTAGCATTGCTTCCTGATCCACTGAAGCCATCTGTAGCAAAATTGTAGTTGCTAAGGAAGAAAATGCAAGCTATTGAATCAGACATAAGTCCATGCCTTTGCTGACAGAGAAATTGTAATCCTTCTGCCCTTCTCACAACAGATTTCTCAGCACATAAACACTCCTAGCTCTTAGTGCATAGAGACTTGCGTAACAAAAATTTCCGAGAAGAAGCCATGTTAGTCTACAGCAGCACATCAACAAAAAAGGTCACCTCCTAAAGAATGATTCAAGTTATTTGGCATACGCTTTCTTATGAGATGGTCTGCAGCCCAAGAGAGCTGATGCAAAAGAAAATTTGCTAGCCTTTAAGATGCCACTAGATTCTCTGGACAGCAAAATATTAGTTATGACCTATAAAGAGGAATACAACCATGACCAGGATTTCTGAAATATCACATTCTCTAGCTTGAGCCTACTGGAGCTCAAATGTCTGTAAAGAGTCCTTCTCTTGGAGTGCATCTTAGTGGCCACTCTCACACATTGTAACTTCCTGTTCAGGATAGCTAGGTTTACTTCCTCCCTCCTGTCCTTTCACAAGCGAAAATGTTTTTATTCAAGTGGTCCTTTTGTTAGTGCACTAGCCTGTAATTGAAGTAACTGACAGAATGCTGGTTAATGCTGCTTTTAATTGCACTTGTAGCTTTTTTTTGTAGCTGTTGTGAGAAGGGCAGAAGGATTATATATATAATGGTTTACCAAAAGGTTTCTTTCAAAGACCCAAATCTTTCTGTGAAGCTATGTCTCCCTAACTGAAAGCTGTGTGGGCAATTGTGAAATCTGCACCACAAAGGAAGTCATGTCCCGCAGGTAGCAGAGTTGTGCAACTATTTGCACAATTAATTGCTCAATCAGTTGCACAATCTGGCACACTGCCTGGGTGTAACTCACTGCAAACTTTCACAAGAATAATTTTATGTTACACCTAGTGCAATAGGATTTCAGCCAAGGCTTGTTTTATTGGCCTTTTTTGAGGAAAAAATGTGATGTGTAAATGGAAATTAAAAATAAATCCAATTAGATCTAGTATTTTTTTAATTTTTATGCTGCCCACTCTACCCCAAAGGTCTCTGAAGAAACTCTATATGTTTCTTCAACTCTAATAGCTTTGTACATTGTTACAAGAGACTTAGAAGCAGGACAGTCTAGCGTCCAGAGCATTGGACTGTAACTCAGGACTGGGTTCAAATTGTCTCTTGGCTGTGAAAACCCACTGGTGGAGGGCAGTGGTAAACCACACCCTTGAACATCTCATGTATCTGGAAAACTCCAGGGTCACTATAAGCTCAAAGAGACTTATGTAACAACACATTTGCTTTGTTTAGGTTTACTTCAAGAGCCTTTGAAAAATATATTGGATGAATTCAGAAACATCACCAGTTAGCCATAAAAATAACTATGTATCACCTTAAATCTTGTCCATTGTCATCCGATGCAACATCTTCTACATGAACTTGGTCACACTCCTGTAGTAAGGGAAAATGAAGCTCATGAAGCTGCCTTATATGACAGTACATTGTCCATTTCAGAGCTTGAAAAGTTACTTTTTTTGAACTGAACCCCTACCAAGCATTGATAGTGGCCATGTTGGTGGACTGGTCTACAGCTGCAGTCCAAATAATGATTTTTCCAAGCTCTCCTCTGCTAAAGTTTAGTATTGTCTACATTTCCTCTAAGTGGTTCTCCAAGACCTCAGGAAGAGAGCAGTACAGTGGTGCCCCGCATAGCGATGTTAATCCTTTCCGGATTAATCGTCGCTATGCAGAAACATCGCTAAACGGAACTGAAAAAACCATAGGAACGCATTAAACTTCTTTTAATGTGTTCCTATGGCTCCCAAACTCACCGTTGAGCGAATTTCCTCCATAGCGCCGCCATTTTCGCGCCTTCGGTAAGCGAGGGCAGGGCGTGAAACACTTGCGGCGGCCATTTTAGGCACCCGGCGGCCATTTTGGAACCACTGATCAGCTGTTTAAAAAGCATCGCAATGCGATCGCATTAGCGATCTAAAAAATTAGATCGCTATACGGATTCGTCATTAAACGGTGCACTCGTTATGCGAGGCACCACTGTATTTCATGCCAGTTCTGCACGATCCTTCTACACTGGAGATGCCAGGGACTGAAACTGGGATTTTCTGCACATAAAGCATGTGTCATCACTAAGCTATGATTCATCCCCAAAGAAAATGCCTAATAGATACAATTCTGCCTTTGGTGATTCAAGCGTCATTAAAGTTTCATTCTCACTAAGAAGGTTAGCAAAAATGTTTTGCATCCAGTATTTTTTCAGTACACTTGCACCTCCCAACTATGTTCTTGGGACATTCACAAAACTTAGAATAGACCTTAATGCCATACAGAAAAACATGGAAATATTTCATTAGGTATCCCCATAATCAAATAGCAAAATTCCCATTTATGACTGTCATCATCAGAGGCCAAAACCATCCAGATGATCCGACTAATCCTTGTACAGATAGCTGTACTTTTATTATCTTACTAAATGACAGGATAGTTATGGTAGTCTATGCAGCATAAACAACAGTATTATGGCACATTTCTTTCTTCGTTTTTTACAGCTAACGTATTTCATTTAGCATAAATTTTGGCAGATTGTGAGATACAATGTACAAAAGCTCACACCAAATAAGACCTGGTTGTCTTTTAAGGCTCCATAAGATAGAAGTATGAACTATTATTTCCTAAATTACATGTAAAAATTATTCACATCCAAAAAAACCAATGGCTGAAATCCAGGAGTAAGTCCCAACTAGAGTAGGCCATTGAAATGGTGTGGGGTTGACATGTTAACAGCTATGTAAATTTCACTGATTCAATAGCCTATTCTAGTTGTAGCTTGCTATGAGTTTTATCCAATATGTAATCACTAATGACATTACAGTCACAGAGGTACCATTAATTAGCTACTGGATTCAAAGCACGAAGAGAAGTTCTTCAGGGTTAAATGACCTCCTTTTCTATTTACCTATACCCTACCATCTGGAGTCATATGAAAAAGAATGGGTAAATATGATATGGTAGAAGGTACAGTTTACAAGTCTCATTATCTTAACCAGTGGCCATACTAGTTGGGTCTGACAGGAACTGAAATTCAACAATATCTGGAAGTCTTCATGAACTCCACTCTTGCAAAGAAGCTGCTATTGATCTGTCTTAGTGATCTACAATGGTAACAATCTTGTAAAGGAAGGTCTTTACAAGAATGCTGTAAACCTGTGGTCCATGGACCCCCTGAGGGCTGCAATGTCCTTACAGGGGATCTGGGAAGGCTTGAAGAAATGTTATGATCTTATGCATTAAAATAGAAAGAAAGAATGAATGAAAGCAGGAAAGAAAAGGAAATATAGAAGAAAATCTTAATTTCCCCTGCTTGTTTCTGTACAACTTGGCTTTTCTAACCTGCTGCCTCCATAGAAACAAACAAAAGTAAAAATCGGTTATGAAAACAACGGTTTGATAGCAAATAACGTTGATATTTCTGCACACAGTAAGAATATGCAAGCAAATGACACTGAGTGGCAGAGAGATGGCACGTGACATTTCTTGCTACTGCGCAGACAGACAGAAGCTGCAGGAAGAGTCGGAGTGAGTCAGTGTCAGTGTGAGTGAGTGCAAAGTGCTGCTGTGTTAGGATGGACTTCCTGATCATATTTTTTCTTCGATTTCTCCTGATCAAACCATTTGGTTATTGTTAGGTAAAGTGACTTTTTGATATTATCACAGAGAATTTTGTAACAATACATTTTGGCTGAGCCTCAAAATGGATGGCTGGCTGAATTTGAAATGTAAAAGACCTGATGATGTTGATGAGGGTGCATCCTGTTCAAAGCAAAATTAATCTTCTTCCAGTCATCTTAAAAAATGTCACTGTTACAGCAAGGAATATCTGTCGATTGGATTCAAATATACAGGTCTGGAAGGCAAGCAACTACCACTGTGTGTGATGTATTACAAGATATTGTCCAACGAGACCATGAAACCATCAAAATTGTGAAGATATTTCATTTTTAATCATAAAGAACATGCCACAAAGAGGATTGATTTTTTTCAAAAGTAAGGAGCATGAACTTCGGGAAAGTAAGAAAATGGTTAAAAAAAAAGACTGCAACTGTTGTAACAAAGATAGTGCAGTGAGGGCCTCATTTAAAGTTTCTCAACTAATAGCAAATACCAGAAAACCACACACAACAGCTGAAGAACTTATATTACTTGCTGCAAAAATCATGGTCTGTGCATTGATTCACAAGAAAGCTGCCAAAGATCTTTCCTTAATACCTTTCTCAAATGACACAGTTAAGAAGTGAATCAATGGTTTGTCAGCCAATACGAAGAAATAACTATTAGAAAGAATTTGCATGTCCCCCTACTTTGCATTGCAACTGAACGAAAGCACAAGCATAACGAGCAAAGCAGCCTTACTGTGCTACATTAGCTATATAATCTTGAGTTAAGACTTAGTGGTCTGTGGCAACAAATGACATTTAAAGGGGGTCCATGGTAAAGAATAGGTTCAAAACCCCTGCTCTTAAGTCATTAAACAGTCCATGTTGGCTACTCTGCATAGTTAGGTCTGAAATCTGCTTTTGTTCCCAGTGCTATTTTAATTCTGGTTGAAGTCACAACTTCCCTTCAGGGTCTGCTTTGTTCTTGATTCAACAGACCTTACTTCAGTATTTCACCATAACAACTAAGCATCTGAGTTTTAAAAAGAATACATACCTCTAAGTCATTAAAAAATAAGTGTGTATCAGCAACTTCAAAAATCATTTCTTCCATAGTCAAACCAGAGCCAATCACTAGAGTAGGATCCTGAAAGTCAAAAAGAGAACAGAAAGCCATTGTTTTTGGTGTTAGGTATGGTTTAAAAGGGTCAGAATTCAAAGCTTCCTCTAAGCTGTACCGACATTCAAACAAAGGTACTTTGGCTTCAATTACATATCCACTCATCTACAAGGAATCTGCAGCGGACATAAAAAACTGAAAGATATGGAGTACTTGCTGGGGATAGACTGGCCTTGGGCAAGCTGCACAGTTTCAGGGCGCCCCCACAAGAAGGGAATGACAACTACTTCTGAACATTCGGTACCTAGAAAACTTTAAAAGGGTCTCCATATGTCAGAACTGACTGAATGGTGCACAATTATTAATTAATTAATGCTTTGCATTAATAACACATGTACATAATGCAAAGTAAAGCTAGCATATGATACATCTTTAATCAATGTGGCTTACTGGGGGACATGTAAGGAGCCTCCCTGAAGAATGTGAGGACTGTGATCCCTCTCATACATCTTGAGGGCAATAACAAAACCTATCAGTTGTTTCTTCCACTCTAGAAGCACCATTGCGTTGCTTCTGACATGAATAAAGAAGAGTGTGGTTTACATCTGATTAGAAATGCATGGGACTGCACTGTGAAATGCTATTTCTGGCAATGCTCTCAAGGCAGTTCATTATGGATCGTGATAGTTCAGGATCTGCTAGATACCACAGAAAAAGGAGGTGTCAAACAGCCATTGGTCCCAGTTGAAATGATGGAAGTGTACTTGCTGTTTATAATATCTGACATGGAACAGGCACTCATAGAGAAAGTTCTAGTTGGGAAGCAATTTGGCTCATGGAAGGAACCTTCCTATTTCCCTTGTACCTCTGAGCATTGTCAGTTTAGCATACCATTATAGCTGCGCCCTTTTACACAAGTTTCCATCTGAATTTATACACCAGGACAAAGATTTAAAAATTGACAAATTCTGCAGTAAAAAGAAAAAATAACTCCCAGTACCTTCCCATATTTCTGGGCATAGGATCCAGTGAGAAGAGAATGAAATATGATGATGGTTTCATCCAAGTCCCACAAAAACACTCTCTGAGGAAGAATTCACAACAGAAGTTAATTTTGGTGGCAGGTGGTTTCCTCCTTGCCCCCTATAAATTAAAAAAAGCCTTCTCATTTTAAAAATAACAAGATACCTCTAATAAGGCTACCTTTATAAGAGTCTTAAATTTAGCTAAGGATGGATCTGTGTCTACTTTAAGAGCAGGATGATTATCATACTGACACCATACCTTACAGCATTTTTTCGTTCTTAGAAGATACAGTCAAGGAAACTAGTGGTTCCCAACCTTGGGTTTCCAGGTGTTCTTGGACCAAAAGTCTCAGAATCCTTTCACTAGCTGAGCTGGCCAGGATTTCTGGGGCTTATAGTCCAAGGTTGGAAACCACCAGTCTTAACAATGACTGTACTGCTGAAATGTGCCCAGGCCTCAGAACTCACTCCAGGCACAAAGAACAGGTATGTGCAGCATCAGTTCCCTGACTCATGGACAATATGACAGTATGAGGCCTCTGAATTTGATGTCCCTCCTATATAAGTAGCTAGAGCTGACCTTTTGCCATTGCTTGGTAACAGAATACCTTTAAGTGGAAGGTTTCTTTCACCTTTATATATGACTTTAAAATCTTCCAATTTAGTCCTCCAATTCAAAGGTTATGATTTACAGAGGTCCACTCTCTACGATGGTGGTACCACCAGGGCCAAAACTTGGTCTGTATGTCCATGGCTCCATTTAGCAGAATAAACAGGAGGAGCCTACAATGCAGCAAGGCTGGCTGCTCACATTTATAAGCCAGTGAAATAGAGTGTGTTCCTACTTAAAGAAGGCGAGTGCTAGAAGAATGCGGAATTCCACTGTGTCCAGATATGATAATTGCTTAACTGTATCTGTGTCTACCATTACACTGCCCTTTACAGGGTTTTTTAGCTTTTTTAAAAACAGTGTGAGAGAAGAAACATAAGAATACTTGAACACCAACTTCAAGTTCATTATCTTGTGGTGAAGATGAGTCTGATTTCCTCTTGCCTCTATTCTTCCCAGTCATGTTTTTCCTGGTTTGTTCATCTGCATCTTTGCTTGCTGTTGCTTTTGGCAAGGATGGGCTTGCAGATGGGTCCCCTAGAAGAAAGGACAGGAAGGTTTCCTCTGTATGTGATGCATCTAATGTTCCTTTCAGGTTCAGTTCATTAAGAGGGATAGAGTAATTATTCCTGTATTCTGTAATGTATAAAAATATTTTACTCTTTTTCAGCAGAAACTCTATGGATTTTACCTTTGTTTTTTGTTTTTTAAAAAAATGTATTTATCACAGAATGGGGTTTGTGTGGTAGACTTTTTACTAACTGTACCTTCCATAGCCCTTTCTGTACAAGGTTTCAGCACAAATTACAGAATGGAAAGTTACAGTGCTCCCCTTATAATATAATAAATTGCACTTGCAACATTTACCCAACAGCTGTTCTTAGACTACAAGTCTTAGAAGTCCTGACTATGCTGGCTAGAACTTCTACAATTCTAGGGTCTGTAGCCCAAGAACTTCTGCCCCTTCCTCAGTCTGAAGAACATTACCCCAGACACCAAGATAAGGATTCCAAATCTTGCCTGTTTTTAATATTTTAGTGGTCCAATGAAGGCATTGCCTACCCTTAGGTTCTCTACAAGAATCACATGGCCAGTTTCTTCTTCATTTGATTAGTTTTGTTTAAGCTTGGAGAAAGTTTGATTCCTCTATTTCTACCCTAAAGTACTATTGTAAATATTTTAATGTAGTTTAATGCATTTGTAATCTTGTGGAAATAATGTATCTTATTTCATCAGATATTTTACAGTATAATTAGATTTTAGCTAGGCTAATACGTGATTAATACATAGCATAGGCATCCTTCAGTCTCGAGAGACTATGGTAACGCTCTGAATTGAGAAGTGTCCTCTCCAGAGCAGGAAGCCTGGGTAAAGTAATATGGAGGATAGGCTGTTACCCAAACAGCAGATCCCCCCTCTTCCCATTGCTGAAATGGTCCAATGGAAAGGCAAGAGCCAATACAACTGGTTCCAGCAACGTTGCAGGAGTTGGCAGAAGGACATGAACTGCCTTCGGGACTCCAGCGCCGGATTTTGCCTCTAGGTTAACTCCTGAAGCTTTTTCCATGAGTGGATATAGCCACAAGGCGGTGGAAGTTGGAAATTGGAGTTTTCCTTCTCCTAGATGTGGCTGCCTTCCATGGCTGACGAGCCCCACCTACCCGACCTGCTCTTTAATAGTGCAGAAGTATGAGCCGACCCTTAAAACTTTCCTGCCTCCCAGGTGTATGCAAATCTAATTGGCTTTCCTATTTACCATATTAGGGCCAGAGATAGAATCAGAGAATTTGAGAATTTTGTGTACTGTTAGGCGCGCGGTCTCATTTAAAGTAGAGAGCCCCACCCCCTAGGTCCCACCCACAGGCCATGCGCTGGGGGAGACAAAAAGAAAGCCCAGAAAAAAAAATTCCTCAGCAAAATGTCCACACAAACATACCTGGCCTTCAGGCTCAGCCCATATGAGTAACAAATAAACGGGACATGGTGACGTTGCGGGCTAAACCGCAGAAGCCTTTGTGTGCTGCAGGGTCAGAAGACCAGCAGTCGTAAGATCAAATTCATGCGACGGAGTGAGCTCCTGTCACTTTGTCCCAGCTCCTCGCCAATCTAGCAGTTCGAAAGCATGCAAATGCGAGTAGATAAATAGGTACCACCTTGGTGGGAAGGTAAAATGGCGTTCCTAGTCACACTGGCCACGTGACAACGGAAACTGTCTTTGGACAATCACTGGCTCTACGGCTTGAAAACAGGATGAGCAACACTCCCTAGAGTCGGACACAACTGGACTAAAAATGTCAAGGGGAACTTTTACCTTTACTTAATAAACAGAATGAGGTTGGGGCCCTTTATGAATGAAAGTCACATAAAAATCCTTTCCCAGTGACAAAAAGGCGGCACTGAATATACTAATACACAAAGATACTTCTCATTCTAAGCCTTGCACACACTTCACAACATCTACGGCAGCAAAAGCTGCACAAAGAATTTCATTAAAGCATGATGAACACATAGAAACACTCTGAAATCGGTCCTCTCCTCCTCATATTACCAGAAGAATGTCTCTGTGCTGTCTGAGTAGGCACCATGGCATTTGGTTTTTCCGAAGGATATGTAGTTGTTGCTAACGTGGTGCTCTCGGTGCTGCTGTCTGCTGGTGCTATTACTCCAAAGCTTGAACTTGGGTAATAGGGCTGGTACTGACTTTGGCCAAGGATTGTATATGTTGGATACTCCTATGAAAAACACAAGAGTCAAATCAGACAAGGGACAACAAAACAAGCATAGTTATTCATACTGAGAAGGCCGAGTTTTTATCTGCAGGTACCGTCAGTTTCTAACAGAAGGGGAGAACCTCCAGCAATCCATATGCTCCGATTGCAAACTGCATTATCCTTATCCAGCATGGCCAGTGAAAAAAATTAGGTGAGTTGAAGGCCAAAGCAACTGGCTATGATGTTTCTCTTGTCTCAGAATAAATGGGGCATTATAGTCAGAAAGAAGATAACACAAGGGAATGTGCATCCCGTGTTTCTGCTTTCATATCTTCTGCTAATGCCTTTCTACAAGGTATCTTTCATGAGACAAAACAAGCACCTACCCCAAACTGGCTCACATGGTGAAAACATTCTTAGCCACCCAGGCATTTCCATGTATCATAGATGTTTCAACCGTCAGTCATTTTATCTGCTGCATCACTGTTCTATAACTCAAAGGGATTGTACACCTCTTTGGTTCACTCTGCATAAGGAACAGCATGTGAGCATTCAAATATGACTGCTGACAGGCACTAGTTAAAGAGAGTGTACAGTATAAGCCCCTTATCACAACAGCTTCACTGGCTGGCATTCTGTTTCTGCACCCATTTCAAAATGCTGGTAATTATCTATAATGACTTGGGTCCAGGCTACTTGAAGAATTGTATCACCCCATAGGAGCATTCTTGGCTTTCAAAATCTTTTGGGGAGCCACCACTTTCTCAAGCTCATTTGGTGTGGACATGAGAAAGGATCTTCTCAGTGGCTCCTCCCAGGCTTTGGAACATACCACACTAAAAAAAAACCAGCTCTCTCTCTTGTCCTTCCATTATCAGGCAAAGTCTTTCCTCTTCATGTGGGCTTTTAAGCAATCAGTGGGGTATCCAGAGAATACTGTATTTATTATATTTAGAGATTTTTGAGTATTTTAAAAATGTTTTAAATCTGCAGTTTTAATATTGACTAATCATCACTACTGCTCACCACCATTGTCTTAGAACTGCAGAGCTGGAAGAGACCCTATGGATCATAGAGTCCAGTCCCTGTCAAGGAGGCCCAGTGGGGAATTGAACTCCCAACCTCTGGCTCTGCAGCCAGATGCCTAAACCACGGAACTACCCAGCAGTTAATATGTTTAACTGCTTTAATATAATTGTTGAATAGTACTTTAAACCTGCTAGCACTGTATAGTTTTAATTGTTGTGAGCTGTCCTGGGTCCTCTATGAGGAGAAAGGTGGCACATAATCAATCAATGAATCAGCCAATCAGTCAGTCAGTCAGTCAATAGCATCCATTCTAAATCTGAAAACACAGAAAACAAGAAAACACATGCCTTAAAAGTGTTTGGAAAGCTTGAAGCTGTAATCTTAAACACACCTGACTGTGGCTTACAGAATACAATGTGACTTATTTCAAAGTAACCATTCATAGTATTATTATTTTATAGCAAAGCTGGGAAATCTCTGGCTCTTCAGATGTAACAGCTCATCTAGAAGGTGACAGGACCCCTCAGCTCTGCATTACTATATGAAGTTTGAAAAACAGTAAAGACTTGCCCATCTACATTTCAATTTTCAAGAGAAGGAGGGGACATCATGACTTCATGAAGACTTCTCTGCAGGAGGAAGACCTACCTGTTGAGAGACGCTCGCTATTGCTGATGCTGAGATACTGACAGCAGAAGAGGAGGTGGAGACTGAGTTGGCATTGGTACTTGAAGCTATAAAAATCAAGAAGATGCCACTTATTAATGGATTACATTACATATGTTAGAAATAAACTCAAAATTAACTCGTCTAGAACAATACTAGGCATTTTCCAATATTCTTGGTTGCAACCCTAAATCAAAGAAGGAAGTATAGTGTCAGTTACATAAACGTGGTTATTTACTTTGCTACACTCTTGAACAGCATTCTACTAGAGAGGGCCAACCATTTACTGTAGTATTATTATTGGGGGTTGGCTCAAACTGGTAGAGCAATTCTGTATGCATCAGCTTCAGACATACAGTCTCACTGAGCTGAGCTAACCTCAGGCAAGTGGGTACATAATTACAGTCCAACTTTAAACCAGTTGCAGTTCAGTCTATGTGAAATGTTAGTTATGGTTCTCTTATGTCTCATGAATTTCAAAGTAACCTAAGTGTACCTCACTTGACCCAGATCCAATCTAAACACCACCATCATCTCTTCTTCTAACAGAGAACTCAAACAGTAAACTCCAGTGGGAATAGAATCAAGTGGCTCCACCAGAAAACATGAGGGAGATAGCATCATACAGTGGTGGCCCACATAGCGAGATTAATCCGTTCCGGATTAATCGTCGCTATCTGGAAACATCGTAAAACGAAATGGAAAACCCCATAGGAATACATTAAACTCCGTTTAATGCGTTCCTATCGGGGGAAAACTCACCGTTGAGCGAAGATTCCCCATCCGGCCGCCATTTTAGCGCCCTGGGTAAGCGAGGGCAGGGCGCAAAAAACGATGCGGGCGGCCATTTTAGGCACCCGGCGGCCATTTTGGAACCGTCGATCAGCTGTTTAAAAAAACATCGCAATGCAAAGATCGGTAAGCGTTTCGCTTACCGATCATCACAATGTGATGTTTTGGCACTTAAAACATCGCAATGCGATCGCATTAGCGATCCCGAAAAATGGATCGCTATGCGGATTCATCGTTAAACGGTGCACTCGTTATGCAAGGCACCACTGTACTTTAGAGAACAGAAGTTTGTAGATGTATACCTTCCCTGCAAAGTCTTTTGAAAAATAAACCATGTGGTCAAATACCCCAAATAAACCAAAACAGACCATTGAGGACTCAGCATGTTAAGTAGTCATAGAATAATGTATTCCAATTAAAAAAGGAAAATGGACGAATCAAGTGGGTGAAGAAAATGGAACAAAATATTTTGGTGGAAAGGCACCCTGTAGAAAAGTATACCTGTTAAGATGCAACAACTTGGTTTAGGTCCCATTTGTATAATGGTGATGATATCATTGTCCTCACCATCATGAACAACTCATTCATTATATTTAAAAGCAGGACTTGAATCTCAAGACCAGCTGGATAAATTTGGTCTCTTAAAAGTGCGCACCCCAACAAGACAGGAACCAATCCTTCAAGTTAAAGGAAGCCAGATTTCGGAAAAACTTCCTAACTGTTAAAGCAGTATGACAGCGGAACCCATTACCTTGGGAGTTGGTGAGTGCTCCAACACTGGAGGCATTCAAGAACAACTTAGATAATCACCCATCAGATATGCTTTGATGGTATTCCTGCATTGAGCAAGGGGTTGGCCTTGATGGCCTTGTAGGCCCCTGCCAACTTCACTTTTCTATGATTCTATACATGAAGCCCAAACTTCTCAGAAGGGAGGTGGGCAAATAACTGATATGTGACCCTAAGGCTGCAGATGTATTTCTTTGATCATTCCTTGCCTCCCTATGTGAAGGTGAAGGAGATGTGAAAGTGGCAGATACTTAGTCAACATGTTGAGGTACCAGCTAAGTCTCAACTGGATCCTTAAAGAACTGCCTGAATCTGATTCACGTGGGGAAGGCAAAGAAAGATAAAAACTGACTGCATTCCCCCAGAAGGGAGATGGTGGGGATCCAATAGCAGCCCCTTTAAAATCCTTCACCTCAATCTAAATCCAGTGCAGAATCAGGCATCCTTAGGCATGGTAAAATCATAAAGCTTAAACACCACTCAATTTGTTTCAGATTTAAGCACCCAGTTTGACCATTCCTTTATTACGAATATCAATATTAAACATTTCCTCTTCCACACATCAGTTAAATGCAAAGGGGCATTCATTAGCAGGCTGCCACTGAACAATAGCCACATTGTGGGTCATAGTGGCACTGAAGCAAAAAGTCTCCTCCCCCAAGGTGAAGGGTCTACTTCAAATCTGCTCAGCTAAAATCATCCATATTAGCCTATGGAATCATTCCAGGATACCTCTCAACTCATGTGCTTCAATTTTACAATGGACATTTCCAAAACTGGTGTAAGCTACTCAGGGCTGGTGTGCTGAAGGCAATGAAATGCACTGTTAAGCTAGGATGTGCCAGAGCTCACTGGCTTCAGCTCTCCTTGTATTGCTACATATTGTAACACCTGCAGCTCTTTCGCAGGTTTTCTCGATACAGTCAGAAATTAGTTACCATTTCATTCTTCTGTGGGTACCCTTGGACTTCACAACTTGCCCAAGGCTACTTAGGCTAACTCTTCTCCTGGGAAGCATGTAGGGAATTGGACTCCGCAAACAGGTGCCCAGCTCTCTGAGGTATCCAGATATTCAGCCAATTATTCATGAAGTCTGAATTGAAGCATTAATTAGTCTTTGGTTTCTACCTCCATCTTTGATAGCCTACTAAATGAAAAAATTCTGTATCTCTGTTTTTGGTCAGTGACTTTTACAAATATATCAATGAAGCTTCAAACCACTAAGCCTCTGTCAGCACACAGGCTAGTATGCTGTTGAAAAATAACACACTCAAAATAAGTGCACAAGAAGTTTGCATTTTTGGTGGACTGTTTGTTGTGCAATGTGGATAAAAATCAATTACTTTTTAAAATCAAATTGACTTGAATAAAAAAGATGCTTTAAATTAAATAATCGAAAATTGTTTTTTTTTTAAATTTCAGTCATTATTTAAATCAACTTGATTTAAATCAAATCCCTCAGGCTGTTGTGTGAAAAATTTTGCAATCAGTATGCAGTCAATTATGGGACAGACAAGTCACCTTAAGGCACAAATTATCTGCATGACTGCTGTTGCATGTGGGCTTTTTCAATAGGATTATTGCCTTAATGCTTAACCATAGTTTGCTGTTGAATGTTAAGGATCAGCCACAAGGTTAAAGAGATAGTGGTCCAGTTTTTACATGCAATGTCATATTTGTTAAATCAGAAGGACGGCCAGTATATTCACATACCCATCTCTGTCTTGCTTACTACTTATCTGGCTTGCTTAATCAGCAGTTAACCATTCCACTGGAAATGGCAAACTATAGTTTAATATTAATTTATGAATTCATAAATGAATTCCAGACTCTGGTTTTAAAATCCTGTTTAGTAAATCAGCATCAAACAACCTTATCCTATGAAGGTGAATACCAAATATAGATCCTAACAAGAAAAGGAGTCTAAGAAGTGTGGGAGTTTCTTTAAAAAATACATTCTAAAGGCAAAAAACAATTCCAACAAGAAAAAAAGGTGGGAGACAGCAAAAAAGCAAAGCAAAGCAAAAAGGCCAGTATGGCTTCACAAAAAGCTCATAGAGGACTGGAAAACAAAAAAAGGATACATATAGGAAGTGGAAAGAAGGCCAGGCAAGAAAGGAAGAAGGAGGCACACAAGTAGGAAGGAATTGCAGGGAGGGCATTAGGAGGAGAAAAAGCTGAGAATAAGCTGAGGCTAGCTAGAGACACTAAAAGGAACAAAAAAGCATTTTTCAGGTATATGTTTATTTTTCTGGTATAGGAAACGACAAAAAAGAAATAGTAGCTCAGCTACTCAGTGGAGATAAATTAAAACAAAAAACAAAGAAAAGGCAGAAGTGCACTATTCCTATTTTAGCTAAGTCAATGTGTTCCAATGGGCTTAATACCTGCTCGTCCATCGAAGATCCTCCATACGGCGGCCATTTTCGGTGCCTGTATAGCGAGGAATTCGTTCTAGAAAACAGCGGGGGGCATTTTGAAAGCTGGTGGCCATTTTGAAAGCTGGTGGCCATTTTGAACCCCGATGATCAGCTGTTTGCTGATCATTGTAAAGCGAAAAATCGATTCCTGAAACAGGGAACCGATCAACGTGAAGCGAAATTCCCCCACTTAAAACACTGTTTTGCGATCGCAAAAGCGATCGCAAAAAACGTCGACGTAGTGCAGATTTGTCATAGAGTGGGTCCCATCAGTGTTATACCAGAACAATTTGGATGCAAACTATTCAAGGAAGTTGAGACACTTAGTTTTGTAATCTCTGCTTGTTATGATCCCTATAAAGGTATGCCTATCCTTTTACCCTGTTGAGATAAATTGATTTAGGTTGTTGCCCCTTTCATCTTCAGTCTGTAGACTCTAGAACGGATTCCTCGCTATACAGGCCACTGAAAATGGCCGCCGTATGGAGGATCTTTGATGGACGAGCAGGTATTAAGCCCATTGGAACACATTAACCAGGTTTTAATGCTTTCAATGGGTTTTTTTATTTCGTTTGACGATGTTTTCGCTCTACAGCGATTTCGCTAGAACAAATTAACATCATCAAGCGAGGCACCACTATATATTTATTTATATTTAATCCACCCGTCCCTCTCTCGCACCTTCCTTTCCGCCTTAATTGGAGCTTTCCCTCCTGCTTGCAGTCACCTCTGGCGGAAGTAGTAATTCACAAGCCAGATTGACTACCCCGGGCTGTTCTACAGCAATAAACAATAAAGCAGCCTTATCTCTGATCTCTAAAAGAACTGATTCACAAGTGCCGCAATTTAGGAAGGTAGCAGGGATAGGTGGCTTACAATCGTGCAGTTTGAGGTTTGGCTGCAGGGGGTGGGGGTAGTGCTCTGCTCGCACGCCCATGGAAAGGTCAACATGTGCCAGCTGTGGCATGCGTGCCATAGGTTCGCATGACTGGACTAGGCTAAGAGTTATCATTATTGTCCTGAAATTCTGACCTTTTCAGTAAATCATTTGTCACCACAATTGTTTGTAAACCTGATGGGAAGCGGTATTTTGTAAGTTATGAACCACTTAATTTTGCTCATTATTCAATACCCCTTTTCCTTTCTTATATTCAGATTCATTTTGGATCCTGATATAGCCCAGGTGGAGACACACACATCCTGAGCTTGCTCTGGTTCCTTCTTTGCTTGGACCATACGTTCTAATAAAATGTAAACATGAAAGTCTTTCTTGAAAAGGACGTTTATCCTTCCCTCAAGTATTCCAGTATCCTCTTTCAAAAAAGAGACAACTGAGGATATATTCATATGTTAGTGGGACGTTTCCATCCCAAAATATAGTTAAGCCATGTATTAATCTTTATATACCTATACTACTAGTTAATGAGTTTGGAAGTTCTGAAACATTGCTTGTTTGGTTTAGCCTCAAAATGGATCACTGGCTAAATTTCAATCCTAAAAGAACTTATGCTGTTGATAAGGGTACATCCTGTACAAAGTAAAATGAAGCTTCTTCTAGTCATCTTAAAAAGTGTTGCCGTTAAAGCAAGGAATATCTGTTGATTGGCTTCAAAGGTACAGGTCACAAAGACAAACAACTACCAATTGTGTTCTGAGATATGGATCAATGAGGCCATGAAACTGTCAAAATTGTGGAAACATCTAGATATTAATATAATTAACAAGCCACAAAGAGCATCACTTTTTTCAGAAATAAGGAGCATCAGCTTCGGGAAAGTAAGAAAATGATTTTAAAAAGACTGCAACTATTGTAACAATGATAATGAAGTGAGGGCCTCATTGAAGTTTCTCAACTAATAGGAAAAACTGGAAAACTGCACACAATAGCTGAAGAAATTATATTACCTGATACAGAAATCCTTGTTTCTGCATTGATCAAGAACCTTTCCTTAATACCTTCATCAAATGATACAGAAGAAGCAAATCGATAGTTTGTCAGACAATATCAGGGAAGAATTATTAGAAAGAATTTGCACATCCTTTGCACTACAACTGGACAAAAGCACAGATATAACAAAGTGACCTTATTGTGCTACGTCAGATATATGCACAAAATACATGTTTTCGAAGACATACTGTTCATCTCCTAATTCATACACACTACAGTGGTGCCTCGCAAGACGAACACCTTGCAGCACGAAAAACCTGCTAGACGAATGGGTCTGGCTAGGATTTTGGTACCATAATGTTCTTATGGCCCTTCTTCACAAGACTACTGTCTTTTTACCTGCTGAGCAAGCCCCAGGAGGCTTCTGAAAGCGGCGTTTTGCTATGGGGGGTGGAGGGGTGGCACAAAATGGCTGCCGACTCCCTGCTGGGTCTGGGCTCTCAGCTGTTTGGCGCTCTTTTTCCGGCTTTTTGGAGGCTACCAAGGCACTGTGAGGAGCTGGGCTCAGTCTACAGTACCTGGTAAGTGACTTTATTGTAATTTTTTTGTTGTTGTTTCTGACCTTTTCCCCCATAGGAACACATTAATTAAATTTCAATGCATTCCTATGGGAAAACGCGCTTCGCAAGACAAAATTTTCGCTGAACGGCATTAACCGTGGAACGGATTAATTTTGTCTTGTGAGGTAGCACAAGTCAAGTAATACGTTTAAGACAAATGAACTAAGGTAACACAATGGAAAAGTGTTTTTCGTTTGGTTTATGATATTTTTGATATAAATAAATAAAAAAATAAAAAAACAATTATCTGAGAACCATGATGACCCATGAAAGACTAAGTGCTCTGCGTCTACTGGATGTAGAGACCACTGTTCTAAAGAAGATACAGTTTGAGCAGTCCATTACAGATTTTTCAGATGTCAAGTGTAGAAAAAAAATACTTTTTATAGATAATGTAGTGAGATGCATACAGCTATAAGTTAGTAGAACTTACTACACTTAGCTTAGGTAAACATTAAAGTTTTGTACTGACAGGTTCAGAATTGGTTATGTAAATTGTTGAGTTAGCCACTGTTATTCACAGAAACTAAAGAGTATATAGCAGCATAGCTATGTTCTTCGTAATTTATCATACTTAAAAATCTACTTCCAATTTTGCTGGCATGTATTTAAAATGTATACATGCATTTACTTCAGATACATAATTCATTTAACTTTTCCATGTACAGATAAGTTCCAATGACATGCAATAAATGGACTTCGATGTGTAAATTTGGTGATCTGCCACGTATTTTAATTCCTGTATATAAGGAGGCCCTCAAGGTCTAAATCCAGCCCTGCTTCCAGCCGCAAGCCAGAAAACCAGGAGTTGAAGGGAGCTTCTTCCATACACCACTTTCACCAAAAGCCAGCTTGCTCTAAATGCCAGTCACTCCAGGAACAAGGATTACTAGCAGTTTAAGGCAGCATACATGGATCTCTTCTACCCCACAACAGCCCTGCGAGGTGGGTCAGAGACAGACTCGATATCACTGAGTTTCATGGCTAAGTGATTATTAGACCCTGAGTCTTGCAAGTCCTAATTCCAGTACTCTAATCAGTACAATACATGGTCTGGGAGATCATGTGATCAGTAACGAGGATACATTTTTCAATACTTAGGCCAATGGCGATGACTAGTTGGTAAAGCAACCCCAATGCATTCTTACCACTTAAACTGAGCACTGTTAGGAAACAAACACAGACATGCTGAATAGTGAACATGCATGTTACCTTTGTGACCCAGCTACTTCCTTTCCAATACAGTCTCCTCACACTTTTGATAGAGTTTTCAAAGCAATGATACAGTTAAAATTCATGAAATATAGCAGACAGATCTGAGCATATCAGTCAAGAGAATAAAAAAGACAGGCAAGCAAGGAGCAGAGATAAAGCATGGCATGGAAAGCATAGAAAAGCATGCACAAAACATACAAAAACATGCTAGCCTCATGATGGTGGCTGGACCAGGTTACAAAGAAGACGTATGGAGATTTTTTTAAAAAACCATGCTGACCTTTACCTTGAATAGGATAAGAATAATGTGCTGGGCTGGACTGGCTTGTGGTTAACCCTGTAGTGCAGGTAAGAACACTGTGCTGACTTGGAGATGGAGTCTGAATTAAACCACTGTCAGGTTTCATACCTGGCCACAGTGCACCTGAATCAGATAAATTGCACCAGTTACAAACAAAATTGTCCAGGGTCCAGCCAAGTCTCTTAAAATATGCTTGTGCGTACAAGCGATGCAACTGTTGCTTACATACGGAGAACTATTAATTTTGCATGTGAAAGTAAATCTTGAAGTAAAAGCCTAGAAGGGCAAAAAGCAAGAGTCAAAGAACAGGAAGAGGAAGAAAAGGGCAAAAAGCTAGCCAGTACTTAAAAGAAGAAAATGTGATACAGTTAATTTCCCACAAAATATTGCATTAATGATGATGGGCTGATATTAAGAAGCTGCATTACTGTGCTGCCTGCAGATGGCAATCTACAAAACAGTTGCTTCCCCTTTGAAGGTAAATGAACTGCCCTTTTGCCTTTGCTATGGGAGTGGGGAAAACAGTGGCTTCTGAACCAATTCATCCAATTACTACTACATGATCTGCTCTGGATTTTCTGCAGCTGAGAATATACAAGCGAGAGGACAGATCATATGAGCTGTCTCAACTTTTAAGATTTTCTGCAAAGGCCCTTCTCTCGGTTCCACCACTCTTGCAAGCTTGTTTGGTAAAGACATGAAAGAAGGCCTCCTCAGTGGCTGCCCTCAAGCTTTGGAATGGATTTCATGAAGAAGCCAGGCTGGCCCAATCCCTCTTCTCCTTTGATCTCAGGCAGACTTTCCCTTTCGGATAGGCTTTTAAGCAATAAGTGGAGATCCAGGCAATGCTATATTTATTAAATTCAGAGAGTTTTTTAAAATTGCTTTACGACTGGTTTTACTATTTAATTGTTTTAATATGGTTTCTGTGTAGCATTTTAAGTCCATAAGCATTGTATAGTTTTAACTGCTGTGAGCCACCTTTGCTCCCCTATGGGGAGAAAAGCAGCATAAGAAGAATACAACACACGTAATAGTGCACCAAAAATGAAACAAATAGGCCTTTAATATCCATTCCTACAAAAAAGTGTTTATCTTGGTCAATCAATTCCAAGTGCAACTGGGCTCCAATTGCTTCTTCACTAGCCATCCGTATAAGTCTTTCATCTATTTCGTGTCTCTGCTAGCAAAAATGTTCAAAATGATTCAGATCTATTCTAAGAGCTCATCAAGTGTCTGGGGTTGAGCGGAACCACAGTTCAGTGCTAGATCACGTGCTTTTGCAAAGAGAAGGTACCAGGTTTAGTTGCTGGCATTAGATCTTTGTCTGAGCCCATGGAGAGTTGCGACAATTCAGAGCAGTCCAACTTTCTACAGCATGGTTATGTGGACAGTCTAACTTCTACCGTAAGGCAGCCTCCTATCTACAAAGAAGGGTCTTGATGTATTCTCACTTCCTCTCAGTCACAAATATAAGAATAACGGCACCTTCAAGTCACATGCATCTTTGCAGGCCTTGAGTTCTTCCCAGGATTAACAATCCATGTTCAAATCAAACAGTTTTCCTGGGAAAATTAAGACTGCTGCTCACAAAAGTTTCCCAGAGCAACAATTCTGTACCTAAAAGGTTCATATTCCAATCCACTTTTTAGAAGTATTCTTAAAATAGTTTTTTTTCAATGCCAGAAGTGGATCCCAGCTATATCTGGTCTTGTTTCTCCAACTTCTTTTAGAGGTACGGGGAGATGGGAGTAGACAGTAAGGTCCCCAGGGGGTCTTAGGAACAGAAAACAGATCCACAGAGCCTGCCCCTCCTTGACCTATCAGTTTTTTTCAGACAGCAGTTTGTAACATTTGAAACAACAACAACAACAACAACAACAACAACAACAACAACAACAACAACAACAAAAGACTGTACATGTGAAACACAGGACCAGAGATTCACAATCGATGAGAGCAGAGACACAAAAGCTTCAGTGTCATAATTTAAGACATTTAGAAAGAGAAATAAAAAGTGGTTTTACTGCCAGGAAAGTCTTTTGAGAATCCTTCCAAAGGTGTGTTTGTGCCACCTGCCCACATCCCCACCAACTAAACCTCTTTTTTTGGGGTAGTGTGACATCAGAGGGTGACCATTAGCCTCTGATGTCACATGTAAAAGGATGTGATCTTTATACTCACACAGTTTAAGACTTTATAAATGAATCTTGTTGCTGACAGCTTCACCTAAGTTCCTAATACCGTTCCCCCAAAAATAGGACCTAACCTGAAAATAAGCCCTTGTATAATTTTTCAGGATGCTCGTAATATATAAGTCCTAACCAAAAAAGAAGCCACCCTTAAGTGAAATCCTGCCCTCCACCCTTGTGCAGCAACCAGAAGAAGACATGACTGTAAAATAAAAGATCCCCTGAAAATAAGCCCTAATACATTTTTGCAGCAAAAATTAATATAAGACCCCGTCTTATTTTCGGGGTAACACAGTACAAGTCACTCTAAGGCAAAAGCTCCAGTGATTATTCAAGTGCAAGGAACACATTTTCTTCCTTCCCTTCCAGATCAATCTACCTCCTCATGCTATTGTTACTGTATTGTCTGGATTTCTTATTTGCTGTAAATCAGAGTAATACCTGGCACTAAACTGGGTGATATATAAGTATATGAAACAAAGAAACATCAGTTCATATACTGTAGTAGCAAATATGCCTTTATCACCCACTCTCTTTCCTGCCCTGGCATCCTCCAAATGTGTTAGACAAGTCCCATCATACCCAAACCAGAATGCTCACTGGCCTTGCTGGTTCATATACTGTAGTAGCAAATATGCCTTTCCTGCCCTGGCATCTTCCAAATGTGTTAGACAACAAGTCCCATCATACCCAAACCAGAATTCTCACTGGCCTTGCTGGTTGGGTATGGTGAGATAGTTCAACTCATCTGAAGGTTGCAGAGTGGGGGGGGGGGGAGGAAGGCTGATATACACAGGGAAAAATCCCCAATAATATTGTTAGTCACACTGTTGTGTTGTGAGTTGTCCATGTGAAACATTTTAGCAGGACACCTTAAAAGCAGAAGGACTCAAGACAACTTGAGATCCTAGACCCACTTACTGAAAGGAGATCAGGCAAAATCCAAGGAAACAAAACAAAACAAAGACAAAAACATGTGGCACGTTAAAGACTAATTATTATATTTTAATGTGACATCTCCACTTCATCAGACATATGGAAACCAGCTGATGAAGTGGATGTGTCCAGAAAAGCTCACATTAAAATATAATAGTTGGCCTTTAATGTGTTACATTTGTCTTTTTTATTTTGTTTTGTTTCTTTGGATTTTGCCTGATATGGTTGCACAAACTAACATGGCTACCTCTTCCAAAATGACTTACCGAAAGGAGGTAGTCCATAGGCTTGGGTTGTCTGAGGATACACAGCGTAAGTCTGTGACTGCTGTAGTGCTTGGTATTGAGTTTGATCAGAGTAAGAGGGCATTGTTTCAGATACAGGTACAGAAAGAACATGTGCATATGGCCTGTAAAAAAGGGGGTCAGGGCAAGAATTTTTGTCATTAAGCAATTCTATAATTTTGTCAAAAGTGCTAAATTGTATTGTTCTAATGCTATATCCCTCCTGTCCCTAAGATCAACTTGGCCCTCAATAGTGACAGCAGCATTACAGAGGACACATGTCTTCCTGGGACAGGTTCAATCACCTCCCTTTTCTTCTGATAATATAATCCTCCCCAAGATAAGAATTTCAAGAACTGATCCTTGTGTTTGCCACTTTTCTTTGCCCTCCTCATCCATTTTTCTTTTTGTGGCACATCTTTTCAAGTGTAAGCCTGCAAACAGAGATTGTCTTGTCTTATTGACTGTATGTAACATGCCATGTGGATCTTTTTGGAGAGACAGGCTTGTTAAAAAGTGTTGTTAACGACGACACAATCTGTCACAAGTATTCTTAGTCCTCAGAAGAGAAACTGCAGACAACTTCAAATCCCTGTTGCCTGGGAACAAGTAGGTTACTCACCATAACGATGGTTCTTCAAGTGGTGATCCATGTATCCACCCAAAAGGGGTTTGTGCCTGCCTGAACACTGTTTCGGAAAGTTCCAAATCCTGAAAAACAAAAGTGCCTCTCTGCCTATACTGCTCAAGAATGGCCCCATTCTCCTCAGTCCCAGTTGTCTGCCGCAAGGGAAAAAAGAAGGGTGAAACAAGGGGGAGGTGGACATGATGTGTGGACACATGGGTCGCCACTCAAAGAACCAGTTAGGGTAAGTAACCAAGTCTTCTTCGTGGTGTCCATGTATGCACACAAAATGGGTGATTAGCAAGCTACAGTTAGGAGGTAGGAGTTACGCCAGGACAGAACAGCCCTGTCAGAGTCTGGGTTGTGCACGGTTGCCTTCAACAGCAGGGGCAAAGGCACCAGGACCAAGACAACAGCACAGAGGGCCAAGCCCACATGGACCAACTAGCCACGATAGGAGCACAGGAGCGGAAACCGGAGCACCAGGACTGGAACCAGGCTGCAGGAGTGGGAGCACTGAGCCGGAGCAGGAATGCAGAGTCAAAGCAAGAACAGAAGCTGGAACAGGAGCCAGAGCGCAAGGGCTCAGGGGTTCAAGAGCATGGGAACACAGGAGCAGGAACAGCACAGCTGAAGTCCTATGTTGCTGAAGCAGCTTTTGGGAGGGAGAGTCATTCCTTAAGTAGGCCTTCCCTCAGGACTCCCAGATGGACCTCATGAGAGCCCCCGCAGCTGTTGCCCCGGCAGGGATTAATCCTGCAAATGCTAGACTCTTCCTGGCACCAAACTGGCCCCGATCCTGCAGCTGCCCGGGCAGTGGTGCAGGAGAAGCCCTGCCGCCACCCAGATCCTAACAAGCTCTTCTAAATGCAGCTTCTTTCTGAGCCCTGAGGTCTAGCCTATAGTGTCTGACAAATGGCAATGGCCTGGACCATGTAGATGTTCAGCACATCTTTTAGGTGTCTATGCCACATATGAAAGTGGTGGATGAGGAATCTCCCCTGGTGGAATGACTGCGGAAAGCCCAAGACAGAGGTTCGTTTGCCAGTTTGCCAGTCAAGGTGATAGCCTGAGAGATCCCCTTAGAGAAACACTGAGAGGAGACTGGGTTTTTTGGGATCTTGGTAAGAGATTAATTGTCTGGTTGTTTAAAGTCTTTTGCCCTGTCTAGGTAAAAGGCCAAGGACCGCCTGACATACAAGGAATGGAGTGACTGTTTCAGGTCATTCTGCAGAGAAGTATTGAAGGTCGTTAAGAGGTTGAGACATGTGAAAACGGGATGCCACCTTGGGTAAGAAGATAGCGTTGTGGGTGAATTGAGATGTGGAAATACATGTCTCCCTGTTGAAGCAGGAGAAGAATGGACTGTAACGTCACTCCACATTCTGGGGTGATGAACCTGTTGAGGGTGCATAGATCCAAACTGGGATGCAGCCCTCCGTCCCTTTTGGGTCCAGAAAAGTACAAGGAGGAGAAGCCATCCCAGGTGAGATGGATATGCAGTTTTCAGATGGCTTCTTTCTTCAGCAGTGTGAGGATTTCCACCTGAAAGATGGGGGAGGGTGGAGTGCATCAGACACCACCTGTGGGTGGAAGAGAAGAAAACTCCATTGCATATCCATGGATTATCATGTTGAGAACCCATGCATCTGAAGCGGTGGTGTCCCAAATATGGATGAACAGTGCTAAGTGTATGTAACTCTGGTGATGTGGGATGATGGCAAGAAGGGGATGCGTGCATCAAGCTCAGGCTGGATAGAATCAAAACTGTTATCAAGGTTTCCTGTCTGTCTTCTTAGTGAAAGCTGTTTCCTTGTATCTGGTGGAAAAGAAAGCAGGGATGAAGCATTGGTGAGCAACCAATCTGATGCCTTGGACCATTCAGATGGTGACTTGCAGTTAGAGTATGGAGGGGATCTCTTCCAGTGAGGGCAGAAGTGTGAAGTTGTTGGGTGGCATGTATTTATTCCCATCTTCTTTGCATTGGTTTTCTTTTTGTGGAGGTCCTGCGTAAAATCATCACCTTTCATCATTGAAGAGGCCCTCTCTGTCAAAAAGGAGGCCTTTTATGCAGAACTTAGAAGGCCTGCTGAGCAGAACCAGGAATGCCTACGCAGATTGATGCTTGCTTCCATGCTCTTCGCCACATCGTTGGCCACTTGTTGGATGGAATGGGTTTGCTTTAAAGCCAGAGATTATGCTTCTTGCTGAAAGGAAATGGCGAGAGACATTTTGTCCGGTGGTAAAGTGGCAATGATGGTCTGAAATTTCTTCCAGATGAATTGATGTTAGGCACCCATCATGGCCTAGTAATTAGCTATGTGCATGTAGAGTGCCACAGAGGAACAAACCTTACAAGCAAGCAGGTTGTTTGTGACTTTCCTTATTATTTGGAGCATCACAGGAAAAGCTCCTGGATCTCATTTGGGTCCTCTGGTTAATGACAGAGTTCAGTATGGGGTATTTAAACAGAACTTAGCTTTGTCCTGTTGTGGACCCTGTACAAATTATTGATTCTTCAAGCTGTCGGTGCGATTGAGGAAGTTTTTTGCCAGGACTGGATGGATGATGATGTTTGTCAGGGTATCAAGCATCGCCATTTTGATGGGTATGTTTGTCTTTTTATGAACATAGTCAAAACATGCATCTTTGGCTAGTAGTACTGGTGTGAATACCAGCAGATGTATTTTGCAATCCTCTCTTTGAACATTGGAATCAGATGAGGATTCTGGGACAGCAATAGTGTCCTTCCCCTGCTCCCATCAGAAGCAGCAGAGCTATAATCTGATTATATTTCTCCTGCAGAATGGAAGGTGTTGTGAGCAGACAATGTGGTGATTGTGAGTTAGGTAAAAAGTCTGGATTAGGGAGAGGTAGAAGCACCTCAGATGAGGTGAGTCGGACAGCCAGGGTGGAAGA